TAAAAAATTTTTTTCAGTTAATCCTTTTCTATAAATATTGATAAATACAATCGAATGAAAAGTGCTCTTTATTTAATACTAAACAATAGTAAACGCAATTTTATGTTGCGACATTATTTGCTTGCGAGTATTTTCACTCTCCTTGTCAACAGAAATCCAAAACAGAGCATCCAGCGTGATTAATCGCTCTCTCGGAGCATTGAAACCCGTTCCGTCCGAAAACGCTGTCTCTCATAATAGCGTTTTCGAACGGATATTGTGAACGGCTTTCAATGCTCCGAGAGAGCGATTAATGACGCCAGATGCTCTGTTTTGAATTTCTGATGACAAGGAGAGTGAAAATTGTCGCTAGCAAATACTATTGCATTATATGCAATATATGAATACCTATAAGTTAGGTTTTTATTCGCAAATTCTTATATATTAGACGTAAATCTTTTTAAAACAAAAATATGTATGTACCTTGCATTCTGAATATGTGTATAATGTATATGTTGTGTATGTAAGGAGTTCGAAGTAGAGAGGTGCCAATAATCGTAGCCAAGATTCTTGATATAACAAAGAGTATATATTCTTAATATCGTTAGTCGGTTAGAGACACGTGTGTGCGGTTCGGAGTGCCGTATCCTTCTCCCCGAGTGATGTGCTCCAGTTACGGATCGGAGCTCGTTCCCCCACTCTCTATTCCATACGTCTGAGTTCTGCTCCGCCAGGATTCGAATGACTCAGACGTTTTGCAGCAACGCGGCAATTACAAAACGCATATAACACTCTCCTTGCTAACAAAAGAAACTTGATTTGAACCTTGCAAGAAGAGAGACAGAATAACACAAAATAACGCAGCATAAACGTACTCGCATGTACTAGTATAACAACAAGAGCATTAATCATATTGTAAGTTTATCTAAATTGGACTTCGTAGTCCTTAAAATGCTTTGACAAGTTTCGCGGCCTGCGTGGTCTCATTGTCCGTCTTGGTGTTGCCACAATAGATTCTGCGGCACTTTCCGAAGGACTTGCTTGAGGTATCGGTGAATTCTGAGGAGCCGGCGCTTCCTCAGGTACAATTTGTTGATGCAACCCTTGTGCCCGCTCTGGCTCCTCTGGTGGAACCTGTTGTACTGGGTTTTCAATTCCAATAGCAGGAGTATTATCTACTATTGGTGTATCACTGAAAATTACACAGTCAGTTAGTTTAGCGGGCGTATCTTTGCCTATCGCACGCATTTGGTTTACGTGTCTTTTCCAGATTCGTCCAGATTCGTCCAGATTCATCATCTAACTTAATTTTGTAATGTAGTTTTCCTATTCGTTCTATAATATTTCCGAACATCCATTTGTCTTTGTCTAAATAATTTCTACAGCTCACTCTTCTCCCTACTTCGAAAATAGTTGGCGCATACTTATTTTCTATGTGTTCGTTTTCCGCAGGCAGTAACAAATCTAAGCGTGTGCGTAATTTTCTCTCAAACATCAATTTCCGCAGGTGATTTTCCTGTCGCGGGATGACTCGTATTACGGTATTGTATCAGTATCTGTTGTAACATTACATGTGTATTTGCTGTATTACTTCGCATACGACGCAATGAATTTTTTAGAGTCTGTACAAATCTTTCCGCTTGCCCATTAGTTGCGGGATGATACGGTGCTGTAAGCTTTTGTATAATACAATTTACTTTTAAAAATGTTTGGAACTCGGTAGAAGTAAATGTTTTCGCGTTATCTGAGACAACATATTTTGGAATGCCGAAAGTAGCAAATATTTGTCTGCACAAATTTATTATTGTTTTACTTGTAATGTCCTTGACTATATGAACCTCGGGCCATTTTGTATACGCATCTATTAGAATAAAGAAATAATGTCCCAAAAATGGGCCCGCAAAGTCTACGTGAATTCTCTCAAAAGCAGTTGAAGCTGGTTCCCACACGTGTACATCCGTTTTTGTGGGATTGTTACGAAAGGTATTACAGTCGCTGCAATTCTTTGCTAATGATTCGATGTCTTTATCGATACTTGGCCACCAGACGTGACCTCTGGCTAGGTTTTTCATTCGGACTACTCCGAAGTGTCCTGTATGTAGTTCTTGTGAGATCTTGTCACGTAATGCTTGAGGAATTACTGCCCTGTGACCCCGAAAAATTATTCCATTTTGTAATGTACATTCTCGCGTATCCATTTGTAAGTTATCACATTTATCCAGTTCCTTTCCGGTCACTAACGCATCGTGTAATTTTAAAAGCTTTACGTCATTTCTTGTTGCTTTTTGTAAATCTGTAATTGTAATAGACAACGTCTCGATAGTATTTAATTGAAATATGTCAACAATGTCGAAATTTGAAATGTTATCCTTAATAGGAAGACGTGACAGGCAATCCGCGTTTGCATGTAATTCCGATTTCCGATATTTTATCGAGTAATTGAATCCTTGTAAAAATAGCGTGTAATGTTGCATTCTCATTGCACTGAAAACAGGTAGACTTTTATTCGGAGCAAAAATTTGTGACAACGGACGATGGTCAGTAATTAATGTAAAATGTCCGCCATGTAGGTATTGGTAAAATTTCTTTATACCGAAAATTATAGCGTATGCTTCTTTGTCTATTTGCGAATATGATTTCTGAGTATCCGACAACGTTTGTGATACATACTGTATAGCGCGTTCAGTGCCGTCTGGATAAATGTGCGATAATACGGCACCTACTCCGTAAGAGCTTGCGTCTGTGGCCAGTGTAAGTGGTAATTTAGGATCGAAATGTACTAGGCATTTAGGGCTCATAAATGCTTCCTTTGCCGCCTGAAAACTCTTTTCGCATTCCTTAGACCAATGAAAGTTTGCTTTTTTATGTAATAAATTATTTAACGGATGTAGAATTGAACTTAAATTTGGAATGAAACGCCCGTAATAGTTAATCATTCCCAAGAAACTATACGTACTTCTGTAATATTCTGCGGTCTTTGCATTTTATTTATTGCTTCAATTTTATCTCGCGCTTTATGTAACCCTTTTTTATCAATAACGTAACCACAATAATTAATTTTTTCTGTAAGGAATTCGCTTTTATCAGGATTAATTCTGATATTGTATTTTTTTAATCGTTTGAACACTTCTTCCAATTTTTGCAAATGATCGTTTATATCTGTTCCTGAGACACGTATGTCGTCCAGGAAAACCGCTACACCAGGAATATCTTTTAATATCCCCTCAATGGCTCTTTGCCATATCGCGGGTGCCGAAGCAATTCCGTACATCAACCGATTGCAACGATAGAGGCCTTTGTGCGTGTTTAATGTAAGCAGAGGTCGGTCTTCCGATCGAACCTCCATTTGTAAATACGTTTGTAATAAATCTATTTTAGAAAAAATTACGCCGCCTGCCATTGTTGCAAACAGTTCGTCCGGTGTAGGGAGCGGATAATCGTCAATAACCAACTGTGGATTTAATGTGACACTGACAAGTCCCCGCAAATACGTATTTGTCCGTTTTTCTTTAAAACCGGAACAATCGGTGTAGCCCATTCCGATGTGTTTACTTTTTCAAGGACTCCTTCTGCCTCTAATTTACGCAACTCATCCTCGACCAACGAACGTAAACGGAAGGGTACCGGTCGTGCTTTATTACAAAATATAGGCTTAGCGCTTTCTTTTAAAGTTAATCTGCTTTGCACGTTTTGAATCTTTGAAATCGAAGGAATTGTAATTTCTCGATATTTATGTAATAGAACTTTTAGTTTGTTTGAATTTGTAGTTTCAACTGTTTTGATTGATTCAATTTCATTTAGAAAATTTTTAATTTTTCTTTCTTGTCGTAATTGCGCGATCCATTCTCGCCCTAACAATGTATTTCTTTTTTCTTTAGTGATATAGAGATTCAATTTATATAAACAATCACCGCATCGTACATTTACAATAATATATCCTAGTAATTTGCCGCTTGGCGGCAATACGAGACTAATATATGTATGTTAAATCGGTAGCGTAGATGGACGAATTTGGAAATAACTTACGTGCAAGGCTTTCTGACATCAAAGATACTGCTGCGCCGCTATCGATTTCAAACTTGACTTCTTTGTCGTTGACTGCCAGTGTCGTAGAGATTTTGTCTCGGAATTGTACGTGTTCCACTTGTAAGATTTCCGACACTGCATTAGCTTCACGCTTACGTTGAAAGCAGACTTTTTGGAGGTGACCAGCCCGGCCACAAGCGTTGCATTTGACATTTTTGTTGAGTGTACACTTAGTTGCTAAATGGTTATCGCCACACCTATAGCATGTAATTGTATTAGACGAAGAATATGTATCTTTTTTATGCTTTACAAAATTTGATTTGTTATTGGATTTACGAACATTGCTACTGTAAGTCGAGTTTGGTTTATTTAACTTATCTGGATTATTTGTACGCCGTGTAGATCGCTTTGCCGAATGTATAAGTCCGACTTCCATCTCGCCTTGTAGCTCCTGTGCTTCTTTCTCCGACATCTCCATAGTCGCAGCCACTTGCGTTGCTTTTTCTAACGTAAGATCCGGGATTTCCAGTAGGCGTGCTTGAATTCTTTTTGTCGCTACTCCGAAGACCAGTTGATTCCGGAGTGCTGTTTTAAGATAGTCCCCAAATTTGCAGTGTATGCTTAATTTTTGCAGAGCAGCCAGGAATTCTTGAATAGATTCGCCATCCTTCTGCTTGCGTTGGTAGAATTTAAAGTTTTCCGCTATCTCGAGCGGTGGTGGATCGTAAAATTCTTTCAAGGTCGTGATCAATGTATCGTAAGTAGTTTCGAACGGGCTTAGTGGCGCTAATCGATCGCATAGGACATCGAAAGGTGTAGGTCCTACATAATGGAAAAGGTACGGAACTCTCGATTCATCTTTAATCGAGAAAATTCGAAAAGCTGCTTCGAGCCTCAAAAGCCATCGAGATAGATTTGTAACTGTAGAATTGAATGGCTCAATTGTAAATGTACTTGGTACTTGCCCAACGGTCGCCACTGCCATGTTTAACGTCCCAGGGAGAAACGTAAAATCGGATAGACGTCTATTCATAGAACTTATAGTACATGGAAGGGGACTGCCCATAAGTTGAACAGAGAGATCCACGTCCGATATATCTCTCCCTCTTGCGATGTTGATTTTCGCAATTACGCATGCGCGACTTGCGTGCGCACCTTTTTATTTCTGTAGCGGGAAACGACGCGCTTGCGCATTTTCAAA